CACGCACGGTGCACCGGAAGCGGGCTGCCAGAGCCGCCAGCGCGGCGCGCCGCCGCGGTCGCGAATCGTGGCCGGCCTGGCACTGGCGTGACCTCAGGGCGACAAAGTAGTGACAAAGTGGCCGACGGCACTGCCATCTGGCGCCGTGTCAGTCGCTCTGTCACTCTCCCACCTGCAGGTGCGGGACCCCCCCGTGAGTGCGAGAGAGAGAGAGAGAAAAACCTGACGCGAAAAAAAACAACTCGGAATCAGTGCGCCCGCAGCCGGATGGACCGCGCGGAGGCACGCGCGCCAAAAAACAGGCGCCCCGCCGGGCCGTTCGAACGCGCAAACAGCTCGCCGATGACCGCCGCCGTCACACCGTCCGCACACCACACTGGAGGAAATTAACTTCCACGCCCACCGAGTAGTGCGTGGGGTACAGCACGGCGAGTCGCCAAATGGCTTCGGTCTTAAATCTAGGGGCGCATGGCGCCGCATTGCGCGCGGGAAGCGCCTTTCACACCTCGGCCGGAAGGAAGGCCCTGCCTCTGTGTGTGGGGTTGTGTTTTGTGTGGGTGTGTGTGTTTGTGTGTGTGTGGGGGTGTGTGGGGTGTGTGAGTGTGTGAGTGTGTGTGTCTGTGCGACGGTGTGAGGACCGTGTTCCACCTGTCAGTTCGTTCCGAGGACAATTTGACGGTCTGAGGCCATAGCCGGTCCTCGGAACGAAATATCATCAAAACCTTGCTTAGGATGCATTTATGAATGGCCCGGACGATCCAGATGATTTTTTTGTCTTGGTCCTCTCATGGCCCTATGTATCCGTTAGTTTAGTTCACGGCTTCACCGCAGAGATGGCGCGGACCGCGCAGAAACACACTGCCGTCCGAGGACCGGGCAGACACACACACTACCATCCGAGGACCGGGCAGACACACACACTACCATCCGAGGACCGGGCAGACACACACGCTGCCGTCCGAGGACCGGGCAGACACACACTACCATCCGAGGACCGGGCAGACACACACACTGCCGTCCGAGGACCGGGCAGACACACACACTGCCGTCCGAGGACCGGGCAGACACACACACTGCCGTCCGAGGACCGGGCAGACACACACACTGCCGTCCGAGGACCGGGCAGACACACACTGCCGTCCGAGGACCGGGCAGACACAATATCAGCCCATCATGTTTATGATCCGAGGACCGGGAAAATACACACGCGCCCATGTGAGGACCTCGGGCTTAACACACTGCCATCCGAGGACCGTGCGACTCCCGTATTTCTTCAAAATATGACGGACACCAGACTGCCATTGTGTGAGCCTCAGTCTGCTACAGCGTTGCCACGTCGTGCGCGGAAGCCGTGGAAAAGAGGTCTATTGTCTCTGTTGCACTGGCAGCGGCAGACCTGACTGACAGAGAAGGTGGAGCCGCCGCTATGCGGACGCTACCCAGAGCTGCGGTGAGGAGGCCTCGAATTGCTTCCAGCCGAACCCGAGCCAGCCGCCTCCAAAGTTTACAAGTGTTGCCAGGCTTAAGAACTCGCGGTTTTCTAAATCGAATCCAATGCGCGGTTCAAAATGCGCTGGTCCATTCTATACTACCTAATTTATCCGATACTTTGTACAAAATTTCGCACAAACGTGCGTTTTTGCGTACAAATTTGTACGAAAAGTTTCGCATGCTCAAAATTGTGTGAGGCCACGAACAAAATTGTACAAATACATTTACTGTGTGTGTCCCTAGAAGCGTCCGAAAGCCTTCGAGCTGTTCCGTCATTGGCCCGCAAACGAACCGCTGTTTGGATGGGCTAGCCCGATGTGTGCCCTGGACTCGTCGGAAAGTCCAGATCAGTCCGCAGGGCGTCGGAGGCAGCGCACTTACCCGGAAATCGTCTAAAGGGTTCACCCCTCCGGACTATTTTAGGAATTCCGTAACGTTTTCCCCTTGCTTTAGGACTTTTAAAAAATTTCCCCTGCCAAAGCTGCAAGTTCAGTGCACTTTAAATCTAAAAGTCTACAGTACTTACTTAGTACCCATTTATAAATGCATACTTCGCAAGTACGCACTTACAAATGCATACTTACACTGAGAATGAAAGAGTCACCACCATCGCCCTTTCATTGGGCGACGCACGCATCGTCGCTCAATTTTGGGTGACGAGCCAGCGGTGACTTTATTTTGGGCAATCAAAAAATCATCACCCAAATTAGGGCAACGTCGTCGGCCAAGTCGTGAGGTCCCCGATGACGGCCTTCCGGGGCCACCATGATGACCCCCATGTGTCGTTGAGGCCTCCAGGTTTTGCGGCGCCGAACGCCGAAGTCCGTTTTGTTCAACGTCCAGTACTTTCAGAGATACGAGGACGTACCACGAGGTCACCGTCCAGGCGGAGGAGGAAGTGGTGATTTTTTCGAGGCCAAAGGAGCTTTGGCCACGAACCTACTTGGTGTCCCGGACTTTTGACTTCGGGGTTGGGTTGAAGGGGTCCCAGCCCACCTGGAAAACAAGTTTCGTCAAGTTCCGGCCAGCAGTTTGTCCAGGACGGCGATGAACATCATCCAATCAGCATATAAAGTCCAAAAATCCAGCTGTTTGACGCCATCCTGGACAAACTGCTGGCCGGAACTTGACGAAACTTGTTTTCCAGGTGGGCTGGGACCCCTTCAACCCAACCCCGAAGTCAAAAGTCCCGGACACCAAGTAGGTTCGTGGCCAGAGCTCCTTTGGCCTCGAAAAAATCACCACTTCCTCCTCCGCCTGGACGGTGACCTCGTGGTACGTCCTCGTATCTCTGAAAGTACTGGACGTTGAACAAAACGGACTTCGGCGTTCGGCGCCGCAAAACCTGGAGGCCTCAACGACACATGGGGGTCATCATGGTGGCCCCGGAAGGCCGTCATCGGGGACCTCACGGCGTGGCCGACGACGTTACCCAAATTTGGGCGACGAAACGCCTGTTACCAAATTTCGGGTGATGAATTTTTCGTCACCCAAAATTGGGCAACAAAGTTGCATCACCCATTTGAAGGGTGATGGTGGTGACTCTTTCATTCTCAGTGTATTCTCAAGTACACACAACTGCATGCTTGGCCCCACAACTCCCTGCTTCGTAGTGGTGTTCAAGTTCAAGATGGACGTTCAACGTGCGAGGTGGCATTTTTCAAAGTCGAATCGAATCGAATTTTATTTTTTTCCCGAATCGAATGTTTATTTTGTGGCCCGAATCGAATCGCATGTTCCGACTTCGAATCCGATTCGAATCGAGCAATAAATATACTTGGATAAAGCAATTATGGACAAATGAGCAAGTTGGGGCAAGAAAATGTTCTAAAAATCACTTAATGACTTATTTAGATGTGCTTTGCGTAACTTTATCAGGGCGAAATACAAATATTGGCAAACATGGAGCGCCTGCGCGCACTAAACATTCAAATCCGAACGGGAGGTGTTTGGTTTTCTCGAATTACCTAATTCCGGAACCTGTTGCTTCGAAATCGATCCGAATCGAAGGTACCATAATTCGATTCGATTTGGATTCGAAGGGTTCGCACGTCACTACTGCTACGCGTATGCACTTGTAAGTGCATACTTGGCAAGTATGCATAAGTGTGTACTTGGCCAAGTATGCATTTGTAAGTGTGTACTTGGCCAAGTATGCATTTGTAAGTGTGTACTTGGCCAAGTATGCATTTGTAAGTGTGTACTTGGCCAAGTATGCATTTGTAAGTGTGTACTTGGCCAAGTATGCATTTGTAAGTGTGTACTTGGCCAAGTATGCATTTGTAAGTGTGTACTTGGCCAAGTATGCATTTGTAAGTGTGTACTTGGCCAAGTATGCATTTGTAAGTGTGTACTTGCAGCTATGCATTTGGATGGGGTTGCTCAGTGGAGAGTTTGGTTTGCAGTGTGTACAATGTTCAGTTTGGAACTTGCGTCTTTATAATAAATATCGGAGGACGGGCATTGTGCTGAAGACGAAAATAATATCCATTTTGACTCCCGACCCAGCTTCGAATCCCGTTAGGACCAAATACACCTAAATTTTTATTTCCAGTTTGACATGGATTCAATTCCAGGTTCAAATGCTCGTTAAGGTTGCACAAAAATAAAATGAACAGATAATATTTTGCCAATCGGGCCCGGCCGCGGTCGGCAAGTCGAACGAAGCCGAAGCTGGCGGTAGCAGGGAGGAGGAGGGGAGATGAAGCGAGCGCGTTTTGGGCTGTCCGAGGCGTGCACGGGTAGTGCCGAGCGGAGCTGGGCCGAGCTGGCCGAGCCGAGCCGGGCGCCGAGCCGAGCGCCGAGCCGAGCGCCGAGCCGAGCGCGACCCGAGCGGCTCGGGCCGAGCCGAGCGCCGGCCGGCGAGCAGCCCGACAGCCCATGGCGCGCAGTAAATACATCAATCTAGGAGTAATTTTTACGTGCCGCGTTAATGTTATAGGCCTATACTGGGTGAAAAAGTACGAGGAACACGCCTGTGCAAACGGTTTGATCGCGCGGCGTCTAGTTTGGGTTTCCATAGCCCTCCATTCAACTCGGGGGTACTGGGGGGCCGCCTTTCCACGGTTCGAAAATCGAACCCCCTTCTAACAGTGCGCCAGCGGTGCTGGATGCGATGACCCGAAAGGATCGGCACACTTCTCGCGCTAATCCCGTCACTCCCGAAGGTCGTTCGTGTGGCCGGGCGCTAGTGTCGTAGCCACATCGTGCCGAAGTGAGGACCTCGTCCGCCGGGCCGGCTCGGGCTTCACCTACCTCCGTTTCCGTGTCGCTGGCGGCCCTTCAGTCAGTGCGGGAGCAGTGGACAGAAGACAGAAAGTGTCTGGTTGTTGACGTGATTTGTGTTGTGCACCGCGACTAGAAGATACCACGATGCAACGGCGTAAGCTGCGTGCAGACCGACAGCAGGATGCCACTACATGTAAGTACAGTGCTTGATGTGTGTATTGTACACCAATTACGGAAAAAAATACTTAGTTTGTCCAACCGATTCGTCGGTTGGTTTTCGCCCAACTAAAGATGTTTTCGTTTTAGTAACGAAAATTTCTTCGGAAAAACGAAATGTTAGTGAGAGAAGCGGAAAGTGCGTTGCAGCAGTGAATTTGAATGTGGTCTCAGCGAACCGGGTCCTTTGGCACGAGCAAAACTAGTTCGCTACGACAACGATCCAATTCGCTGCTGCAACGATGGATTCGTTGCGCCATCAAACTTCCCCGCTTTTCTAACGAAATTTTCGTTACTGGAACGAAAACATCTTTAGTTGGGCGAAAACCAACCGACGAATCGGTTGGACTTACTAAGTATTTTTTCCGTAACGCACACGTCATCGTGGCGTCGTGTTTAATTGTGTATTCCCCTCGCCGCCCGCCTTTTTCGAACACACATCTGTAGAGAATGGGGCACATGAGGTACCTTCTCAGCGACCAAGATGCGCACCCATGCACCGTACACTATCGAGGTCGTTTGCACCTGAACTGGAGCGATATGGGGCCGGGCGGGCATGACTTTGTACAGGATAGGGCACTTCGAGCACCTCCAAGGCGGCCAGGATGCAGGTGCGGGCGTCCCCTGCAGCTGCAGCAGTAGTAACATTGAACGCGCATTGCGGCGAATGTGCTCGATAAAAGTTTTGAGACTTTCGGTATTTTATTCCAACATCCCGGGTTGACGCTAGAGTCATCTTTTCTGCAAACTCAACAGTGTACTCAGTACACTCTCTTTAGCGTGTACTCAACTGCATATATTGCCTAGGTGTGTACTTATCTGAGTACACTCTCGTTAGAATGTACTCGTCTGTTCACACTCTCGTTGGAGTGTACTCATCTGAGTACACTGTCATTGGAGTGTACTTGTCAGTACACTGTTGAGTTTGCAGAGTTTTCGCCTTTAATTCGGCTTCTTTCGCTAGCCGCAGAAAGTTCGTTTGAAGCGCGACAGAAGGCGAGCGCAATCGTCATTCAAGGCGCGCGCCCGCTAAACGAGGCGAAACGAAGGTTAAAAACAGGCGAAATAAAGACGGTGCGCAAGCTTATCTTTATCGTCGCCGACTGGGGGCTTCCGGGAGCCTAAAAGAAGGCGATAAAAAGACGCGAAAAAGGCTCGTAGAAGCCCGGCAGAAGAGGTGAAAGAAAAAAAAGACGAAATCGAGCGCTGCCGGCCGCTGGTCGGCAGCGCAGCCACCGCGGCGCGGCAGCGTGAGACCCTCCAGCAAGTCGCCCTGGCCCAGCGGCTTGCGGCACAGACTTCCGAGTTCCGGAGTCCGTGGTTCGACACTGCGTCGAGTCAAAGTCAGAGTTTACTATTTCCCAGTGCGACCGCCGGCCCCCACCACCTCTCTTGCCGACCGCCGGCCGGCAGGGCTGGGTCCAATAATTGCGGCGTGTTAGTATCTGTGCCCGGCAAATTCCGTTTTTTTTTGTTGTTTTTTTGGAATGTTTGTCTGGACTTAGTAAGACGGCCAGGCACCACAGCGCGGCCACGCGGCAGGGGGCTACCCCGCAGTGGGGTACCGGGGACGCTTGGGGTCGCTTCGGCTGGCCGGGCCAAGCCCTCCCGGGCACCCAGTCTTTCGGAGAAACTGGAAAACCCACCGGCTGTGTGACGCTGCACGCCTAGCAGCAGGCCTCCAGCTCTGCAAGCGATGCGATCCAGCGGGAAAATAATTCCCGGAAGGGTGAGGAAGATGACTTCAGTGCCTGGCCTCGTGGTGTAGGGAGTTTTGGCCAACTGCGCCGTTTTCTGGCCGCCTGCGCCGGCCTTCTGGCCCACTGTGCGGGTCTCGGCCGGGTCACAGTAGGCCAGAAGAGCGGCGCAGGCGGCCAAAACTTTGGACGTGTTTTGAGCTTTAGAGTCGCTAAATGGGACTCGAACCGTACGTGTGACCCCACCAATGGATTCCTCCTTCGGAGAGCAATCCATTGGCGGGGTCACACGGTCGGTTCAAGTCATATGTAGCGGCTCTGGAGCTCAAAACGCGTCTAGAGTTTTGACCAACTGCGCCGGTTTTTGGCCGCCTGCGCCGTCTTCTGACGCACTGCACCGTATGTCAGAAGAACGTGGAGGCGGCCAAAATCCCGGAGACGTTTTCAGCTCCAGAGTCGCTAAATGGGACTCAAATCGAACGTTTGATCCCACCAATGGACTCCTCTCAGCACGAGGAATCTAATGGTGAGGTCACACGTTCGATTCGAGTCCCATTCAGCGACTCTGGAGCTCAAAACGTGTCCAGGATTTTGGCCGCCTCAACGGTCTTCTGACCCACTGTGCACTGTGCGGGTCTCGGCCGGGTCACAGTGGGCCATAAGATCGCAGGCGGCCACCAATGGATTCCTCGTTCGAAGAGCAATCCGTTATTGGGGTCACACGATCGGTTCGAGTCCAATTTAGCGACTCTGGAGCTCAAAACGCGTCTAGAGTTTTGGCCGCCTCCCGTCTTCTGGCCCACTGTGACCCGGTCGCCCAACAGAATGCCGGCAGAGGAAGGCAGAGTTCGGCCACAGTGTAGGTGTCTCCCTACACCACGAGGCCAGGCACTGAAGTCATCTTCCTCACCCTTCCGGGAATTATTTTCCCGCTGGATCGCATCGCTTGCAGAGCTGGAGGCCTGCTGCTAGGCGTGCAGCGTCACACAGCCGGTGGGTTTTCCAGTTTCTCCGAAAGACTGGGTGCCCGGGAGGGCTTGGCCCGGCCAGCCGAAGCGACCCCAAGCGTCCCCGGTACCCCACTGCGGGGTAGCCCCCTGCCGCGTGGCCGCGCTGTGGTGCCTGGCCGTCTTACTAAGTCCAGACAAACATTCCAAAAAAACAACAAAAAAAAACGGAATTTGCCGGGCACAGATGCTAACACGCCGCAATTATTGGACCCAGCCCTGCCGGCCGGCGGTCGGCAAGAGAGGTGGTGGGGGCCGGCGGTCGCACTGGGAAATGGTAAACTCTGACTTTGACTCGACGCAGTGTCGAACCACGGACTCCGGAACTCGGAAGTCTGTGCCGCAAGCCGCTGGGCCAGGGCGACTTGCTGGAGGGTCTCACGCTGCCGCGCCGCGGTGGCTGCGCTGCCGACCAGCGGCCGGCAGCGCTCGATTTCGTCTTTTTTAGCAGATGATACGTTTACGTATCAGCGTGCTTGTACTCTCGTGCAGAGAGTACCGAGTTTCCGGCTAGCCAGGCAGCACTTGCCTCGTTGCCTGACTAGCAAGCCTAGAAGAGACCGCGCGCCTCGCCGGCAAGGCAGCGGCTGGCTGGCCTGCCTAGAAGATTATGAGCGGAGGGCCCTCAGCGTGCCGCGCCGTCGCGCCGTGCCGTCGCGCGCCGCACCATGAATCGGGGCGCCTGCGGGGGCTCGGGTTGCGCGCGCGGCGTATAACCTTGACACCCAGTTATCTAGTACTCATGAAGTGCGTCCCTCGCGTTGCGCGTCGTCACGAGACGCTGCTAGCACGCATCGCGTAGCTGCCCCCCTCGCCCATTCCCTTGCCGAGACGCCACGTCCCGCCGCGCCCCGCCACACCCCGCAGCAGTCTACACACACACGCACTTGAGCCTTGAGTGCGTAGAACGCATAGTGCAGCGCCCCCCCGAACCCCTGCCCCTCTCGAGAAGCGGCGCGTCGGCAGTGTGCGGTGCGCCACTCTTGCTTATCTATCTTGAGGTCGGGTTCGGGTGGCGCGCCGGCCGGCCGGCCGGCCCCGCTTGGAGATGTGGCTGACACGCCGCGTGCCGCAAGGCGCCTTGCCCTTTTTATGGGTATTGAGTATTTATGTGATTAGCCACCCAACACAAGTGGTATCGGACATATGAGTGTCCCACCGTCATTGCGAACATGGCACGTTAGGATATTCAAAAGTTATACTAAAATTGACATTTTCATAAATTACCATGCGTAAGAAATTTGTCAAAAAAAAAAAAAAAAAAAAAAAAGGGTTCCGAGTGTTTACTCTTTGAAAGAAATTGACAAAATGTCGCATTCATACATTTCAATAAACATTCTCATCAGTATCATCTGCTTTCACGTTAGCGTTAGCGTTAACGTTTTTTTTCTTTCACCTCTTCTGCCGGGCTTCTACGAGCCTTTTTCGCGTCTTTTTATCGCCTTCTTTTAGGCTCCCGGAAGCCCCCAGTCGGCGACGATAAAGATAAGCTTGCGCACCGTCTTTATTTCGCCTGTTTTTAACCTTCGTTTCGCCTCGTTTAGCGGGCGCGCGCCTTGAATGACGATTGCGCTCGCCTTCTGTCGCGCTTCAAACGAACTTTCTGCGGCTAGCGCAGCGGTTCCCAACCCTGGGGTCGCGACCCCAAATGGGGTCGCGAAAAAATTTCGAGGGGTCGCGGCGAGGTGGCTGGGGTCGCCTGGGGTCGCGGTGGTTTCCCCTGCTAGCCCACACGCCGAGCACTGGCGGGAACAACGAATCAGACGCAGTGACTGCTTAAATGCCGCAAAGTTGATCAAAACGGTCACAAATGTCTGAAAAATCGTGTTTTGGGCCGACTTTAAGCATCTACTGCGGCTGATCCGAGGCGGTATTTCGTCCTCCCTCAACGGGCAATTGGTCTTTGGACCTTCCTTTTGCATGCCTCTGTTACGGAAAGCGATTATCTGCCTTAGTTTGGGAGCAGTATTGCCGCAAAGTTGATCAAAACAGTCACAAATGTCTGAAAAATCGTGTTTTGATTAACTTTGCGGCAATACTGCTCCCAAACTAAGGCAGATAATCGCTTTCCGTAACAGAGGCATGCGAAAGGAAGGTCCAAAGACCAATTGCCCGTTGAGGGAGGACGAAATACCGCCTCGGATCAGACGCAGTAGATGCTTAAAGTCGGCCCAAAACGCGAGTTTTCACAGACATTTGTGACCGTTTTGATCAACTTTGCGGCAGTACTGCTCCCAAACTCAGGCAGATAATCGCTTTCCGTAACAGAGGCATGCGAAAGGAAGGTCCAAAGACCAATTGCCCGTTGAGAGAGGTCGAAATACCGCCTCGGATCAGACGCAGTAGATGCTTAAAGTCGGCCCAAAACACGATTTTTCACAGGCATTTGTGACCGTTTTGTTCAACTTTGAGACAATAGTGCTTCCAAACTAAGCCGGATTATCGCACTTTGTATCAAAGGCATGCTTAAGGAGGGGTCGCGTGGGGTCGGAGCTGACTGTTGGGAAGTCTAGCTTTCAGGAGCGCGTCAATCCGTCGAGTGATTCCGCCGCCCGCCTTCCTTGCGCTGTCTCTCTTGCATCCCTACGGTGGCACACTCCGTGAGTGCGAGAGAGACGGACAAAGAGGTGCGGACAGCTGAATCGCGCGACTGGTTGCCAACGTGGCCGCGCACAGTGGGCCAGAGAAGACCGGCGCAGGCGGCCAAAACTCTAGACGCGTTTTGAGCTCAAGAGTCGCTAAACAGGACTTGAACCGAACGTGTGGCCCTACCAATAGATTTCTCGTTCGGAGAGCAATTACATGGCAGGGTCACACGTTCGGTTCGAGTCCCATTTAGCGACTCTTGAGCTCAAAACGCGTCTAGGGCCGCCTGCGCTGGTCTTCTGGCCCACTGTGCGGCGCGCAGCGCGGCGCTGCCTCCTCCATGTGGACCCAGCCTCACGGGGAAGTCCGCCATGTTTGTAGCATTTTACATAAATTGCTGTTTTTTGGAGTTTTGACTGTTCTGGAGGCCCCAAAACACAATTGTACATGTACATTAGCATCGTGATCCTCGCAAAATTCTGCGTCCGATAGACTACTTTTTTGCCCCCTAGGACGTTTTTTGAGGATGCCATGCCGTTTGGAAGGTTTCACAAAATTACATTTTTGAGTAAAAAGTCAGACGTTTGGCATGGGGCTAGCTCCTAAACGAGCCCCATACGCACAAAAGGGGACTTTCGCCTCGAAGGTGCTCCAATGGCCTATCTTGAACAAAGTCATGTCTTTCTGGCCTCTTATCGCCCCAGTGGCCACCTAGAAGGTCCCTGAAATGTCCCATTCTTCGCAAATGCATGCCTTTAATGCTGGCTTGACGCGCAGGCGCGACGCCAGGAGACTTGACAGTGATTAGCGTTGTCCGCTTTCAACTGTTTCAGAAGCAACGGTTAAAACTAAAATGGAACACTTCACTAAAGTACTTTCAAAGTAATTAAAGCATTTTTTTTTGTTTGTACAGGTTCTGAAAAACACTATTTAGTGAGGTTTGAGGACAACAATATTATTACTTCCAAAGAAATGCATGTAAAGAAAGCTGTTAACTCCAACAAAACAATGGCTCTATGGTTACCAAATTTTCGGTGGTATGATGCTGAAATTTTGGCGGAGGGCAGTAAGTATAAATTTTTATGGTAACCGTACTTAATTTGTTTTTAAAATAACTGTTTCATTTTAATTTGATTTAGGTAAAGAAGAAATGGATAAAAAGCGGGACGAATTAAAAACAGCACATCTAAATGCTAGCGACGCAGCTTCATCTGAAGATGCTGGCAGTACTGGTACGTTGTTGTGGTTAAATAAATATTGTAAACGAACAGTTTTATGTATCTTGACTTGTACAACAATTCACTCTACTAAGCCTTCCTCTTCCGTCTTAGTGGTGTTTGCGTAGCACTTGAGGTCTGGAAAGCAAGGCGTTTGTTGATTTCTCAAGTAACGATTATCCCGTTTCCAGGGTCGTCTACTAGTAATATGCGCAAGAGAGAAACCATGATTGACACAAGCCAATCTGAGGAAGAAAAGTCATCATTTAAAAGTAGTTCTGCTATTGAGGAAAAAATCTTACCTGACAAGCCCCTTGCGATGCCTGTAGTAAACCCAAAACGCCCAAACGGTTGGTGTTTGTTTCAAAAAGGCCCTAAGAGACAAGCTGTTCTGTATATTAACTTGAATTTTCTGTCTGTTTCAGAGTTGCCTTCTGCCAATGTCGGAGAATCCAAAGAAGATGCTGTAAGCACTGCTCAGAATGCTTCGGGCAACGGTGAGCCCTTGGAGGTATCTACTGTGATCGAGGATCAAAAGGGAACCGCCTCTGTTGAGCGGCATCAAGATGTAGAAATTACCATGCTCAGTAAGTCTTCAAAGCACTTGCACCCTGCATAAACAGTATGTTTGTTAATTTTCTCAAGTAACAACTGTCCCGTTTCCAGGCTCTTCTACTAGTAATGTGGGCACGAAAGAAACCATGATTGACACAAGCCAATCTGAGGAAAAAAAGGCATTACTTAAAAGTAGTTCTGCTATTGAGGAAAAAATCTTACCTGACAAGCCCCTTGCGATGCCTGTAGTAAACCCAGGACGCCCAAACGGTTGGTGTTTGTTTCAAAAAGGCCCTAAGAGACAAGCTGTTCTGTATACCAACTTGAATTTTCTGTCTGTTTCAGAGTTGCTTACTGCCAATGTCGGAGAATCCAAAGAAGATGCTGTAAGCACTGCTCAGAATGCTTCGGGCAACGGTGAGCCCTTGGAGGTATCTACTGTGATCGAGGGTCCAAAGGGAACCGCCTCTGTTGAGCCGCATCAAGATGTAGAATCTACTATGCTCAGTAAGTGTTCAAAGCATTTGCACCCTGCATAAACAGTATGTTTGTTAATTTTCTCAAGTAACAACTGTCCCGTTTCCAGGCTCTTCTACTAGTAATGTGGGCACGAAAGAAACCATGATTGACACAAGCCAATCTGAGGAAAAAAAGGCATTACTTAAAAGTAGTTCTGCTACTGAGGAAAAAATTTTACCTGACAAGGCCCTTGCGATGCCTGTAGTAAACCCAGGACGCCCAAACGGTTGGTGTTTGTTTCAAAAAGGCCCTAAGAGACAAGCTGTTCTGTATACTAACTTGAATTTTCTGTCTGTTTCAGAGTTGCTTACTGCCAATGTCGGAGAATCCAAAGAAGATGCTGTAAGCACTGCTCAGAATGCTTCGGGCAACGGTGAGCCCTTGGAGGTATCTACTGTGATCGAGGGTCCAAAGGGAACCCCCTCTGTTGAGCCGCATCAAGATGTAGAATCTACTATGCTCAGTAAGTGTTCAAAGCATTTGCACCCTGCATAAACAGTGCGATTGTTAGTTTTCTCAAGTAATAATAATTGTCCCGTTTCCAGGCTCGTTTTCTAGTAATATGGGCAAGAAGAAAATCTTGTTAAACACAAGCCTATCCGAGGAAGAAAAGTCATTACTTGAAAGTATTTCTTCGATTAACTCAAAAATGTTACCCGACAAACCCCTTGCGATGCCTGTTGTAAACTCAGGACTCCCAAATGGTAGGTTTTTGTTTGAAAAAAGCCCTGAGAGACATGCTTTTTTGCTGTTTTGTATATTTACTTCATTTTTTTTCTGTTTCAGAGTTAATTACTCTCAGTGTCAAAGGATCCAAAGAAGCTGCTGTTAGCAATAGACGGAAGGCTCCGGGCACCGGTGAGCCACTACAGGCACCTACCATCTGCGATGCACTGAAGGCACTACCTGTGGGCGGGGAACGGAAGTCACCTACTGTTTGCGAGACATCCTCCGTTTGCAAGGAAACCACCGTCGGCGACGCGACCATCTTCAGCAACGCACCGAGTGAAGACATTGTGAGCACTGCGCCAACGGCGTTTATCCTTTCCGACACGGAACTGGCGGTGCCGCCTTTGCTTTCAGAGAATATTATTCAGCTAGTTAACGGGAAGAGCCTTTATCCAGAGGGGTCGAACTGTTCTTATGCAGACCTTTCTGCTGCGCAGTTGCTTGAAGAAGTCCCTGACGTTTGCCAGCTAAACGATACAAATAATACTTTCCAAGAGTCGCAGCTTTTCCACGCGCTGAACGAGACTTTCCCTGATTTAGTGACAGAAGTTTCAAGCTATGCGCCCAAAGACAAGGCAGTTTTGCTAAATCTTCAGGCATCAGAAGTTTCCCTTACGTCTAGTATTTATGACTTCAACTTAGATGTAGATGACATGCAACCCCTGTTGAGACCCAAGCGCAATGCTGGTCAAGTTAAGTATCAATGTGATGGCAGCGATGATGAACATTTTTCTGGGGATGATGGTTCGGTGTACGAGCCGCGTTGTGAGTCAGAAGAGTCCTCAGAAGATAGTGACCCGGTGGGTGATCAGACTGAAAGCCCATCTCTAAAGAAAAGTGTCCCTCCTGAGTCACTGCAATCCAAAGCAATGGAAAACTCAAATACGCAAAAATTTCGAGAAGTCACTGTTCAAAGAAAGCATGGGGAAACACTGCATGTATCCGAATCACCTGTGGCAGTTAAAACTTTGCGTATCCAGACAGCTGTGAAGGGGCCCACTGGGCGACGGGTATGGGACAAAAAATACCCCTGCAAATTTTGCAATAAACTTGATCCAAAACTGCCTAGACACTTCGAGCGCCACCACGCTCAGGAGCCTGAAGTGGGTGCCTTTCTAGCTTTGCCAAAAAACTCAGAGGCCAGAAAACAGTTGCTGGACAAACTGCGGAGTGATGGTGAAAAGCTGCATCACTTTCAAATTTACGCGCGAAAGGAAGGCAATTTAAATCCCAAGAAGAGGCCGACTACGGAAACTGGGATCAACGACTACTTACCTTGTGAAGATTGCTGCCGGCTTATTAAGAAATCATATTTGGCACGGCACGTGGCACAATGCAAAATTCCCAAGGGTGAGTCTTCTGAAGATGTACCAAAAAGGAACATGAGAGGACTTCAAGCTAGATGCGCTCTTCTGCTGCCCACGGACTTGGAGATCGACAAGGATTTCAGGACGACTATTCTTGAAAAGATGAGGTTTGATGAAGCATTTAAGGAAATATTTTCTGACAGAATCATACTTCATTTTGGTCAGAGGTTGTTCAGTTACCTTGGGCGACAAAGACGAAACCATAGGACCATCAAAGACAGGCTGCGAGAATTGGGTCGATTTATGGATGCAGTAAAGCAGCTTTCACCAGACATAAAAAAAATGGAAGCTCTAATGCATCCCTCTCAGTACAAACTCATAATTAAGGCCATCAAAATAACTGCAGGCTTTGATGAAACAACTGGAATTTACGAAACTCCGTCGTTGGCTTTAAAACTTGGCCAATCCATGAAGAAATGTATCGTAGTTTACAAGGGAATGTGCTTAGATGATCCTGTGTTACTCCTGAACGTGCCCAATATCAAGCTCCTGCAGGAAAGACTGGAGGAAAACGCTAGTATAGATATCAACAAGGATGCACATTCCACGCTTTCTACAAGAAGCTGGAATGCTCCAAGAAGACTGCCCTTGACAGCAGATGTTCAAAAGCTTCATGCACATTTACTTAAACGCAACGATGAAATCAGAGAAGCCATGAAATCTGGAGTATCTGACAAACTTTACAGAGAGTTCTGCGAGGTAACTTTGTGCCGCGTTCTCCTGTTAAACAGAAGGAGAGTGGGCGAAATTCAATACATGGAATTGAAAGACTACCAGAGGTCGAAAGAAAACTCACCACGAGATGATGATCCAGCCATGAAAACCTTGTCAGAAGTAGAAACGGTGCTCGTAAAGACCCTGCAACGAATCGTGATCCGAGGTAAAAAAGGCAGAGGCGTTCCCGTGCTACTTACTGAGGACATGCAAAGTGCTGTTGAGGCCCTGATTGCCCTTCGTCCAGAGGTTGGAGTTCCCGAAGACAATGAATATCTCTTCCCAGCATTGCATGCCGAAGCTGGACATCATCGTGCTGACGTTGTCCTAAGGAAAATGGCAAAGGAGTGTGGCGCATCTGATCCTTCCTTACTCACTGGCACCAGACTTCGAAAGCACGTCGGCACATTGATGACTCTGTTGAATCTGCGTGATCACGAGCTGGACGCTGTTGCAGATTTCATGGGGCACGATATCAGAGTGCATAGGCTGTTTTACCGACTGTCCTCAGATACAATGCAGCTAGCAAAAGTCAGTAAGGTCTTGCTAAACATGGAAAAGGGCCAAATTGAAAAGATGAAGGGACTTAACTTAGATGAGATAACAGTTGACGATGAAGTTGATGATGTTGAGGACGAAGATGCAGACGACCCATTTGCTGATTTTGTTGATGAGGAACCAGCGAAGGAAGTCAAAGCTCCAGAAAAGAAGAAAACTAAGAAAAGGGTTCGCAATGACTCCAGTGGTGCTGACTCTGAGTCAGGTTGTGACTGGGCACCTAATGCTTCTAAAAAAGAAAGAAGCTGCAAGAAGACGGTCAAGAGGCACAAATTTACACCAAGTCAGTCAGAAACAATATTGAAACACTTTGAAAGACTTTTGCTGAATAAAATCACGCCACAGAAGCACCACGTTGACAAGTTTGTGGAAGCTTATCCGGAGTTTGGATCAGTCCCGTGGGACAAAGTAAAGCAGTTTGTGCGCAACAAATTTTTGTCTCTTGAGAATAAATCACAGAAAAAGAAGTCTCAGAAGAAGTAATGAATTTGTATTGAGTTTTGATCTCATTGTCTTTTATATTTAAGTTTTTTTTAAATCAGAAATATTGATTTCCTTTTCTTTAGTTATAAGTTCGTTTTTACTTCATTTGTTCCTTCTCTGTTTGTAGGTTGTGTAACTTTTATCTTTTTCTCTCTCTTGTGTTTAGTTGAGGCAAAAATAACAAGTATGACCACCTTATTGTCAAGAGCAAATTAAGGATTGCTCAACCTACAAGTTTTGAAGTTAACAAACTGTTTAACCTATTTCATAATTTTGAGTATTGTCGGTTTCAATTGGTGAATTACTTTTTACGGAAGGGTGCTCTAGGTGTGTAGCTGAATTGCATTCATGATTAATTAGATTGTCAAATGTTTAGAAAGGTTAGAAGTTGTTCAGCAAAGTTTAATGCAGACTGTTTTTTAAACTGTTAAGACAATGTAATGCAATTTAATTGCAGGCACTTTTTCATAAATTGTGAAACGCCTATGAAATTTAAAAAGAAATCTAGCAAATTGTTAAACTCAACACGTTTTTTTCAATTTCAATGATCTCTGTAGTGTTAGTAACGATATGTTTGCATTCCACGCAGCCTTGTATTTGCTTAACATCAAAATGATACCGTCCTTGGAAGACAGATTATGCACGTGACTGCTTTTGATGAAATAAACCTAGAAATACTTTATCCTGTATTTCCAATTTATTTAGAATTCATCCGTGCATGCCTCCGACACACTAAACAATCATTATACATGTTTGACTGAGCGAAATTAAAGTCCTTGCAGTTGTTCTGGGTCTTTTCAGGAAAGTTCTAAATTAACTTTACATTTAGTCGGGTTGATCACGAAAGTTTTGAAGTCCGATTAACTTTTTGGCTTAAAAAATGTCAAGTATCGGTTGCCTCAGCTGAGCAAATCCATTCTTAATACTCAAAAATAAAAATGGTATTTTGCCACTATGCTCACCTGACAAAAATGACACCTCACACCACGAAAAGCATTTACATTGAAGCCGCGAAGAGCACTGTCGCATAAGCATGTGTGTGTCTGCCCGGTCCTCGGATAGGCGTGTGGCTGCCCGGTCCTCGGATAGGCGTGTGTCTGCCCGGTCCTCGGATAGGCATGGTGTTGGGGTCGTCTGGCCCGGTCCTCGGATAGGCATGTGTGTCTGCCCGGTCCTCGGATAGGCATGTGTGTGTCTGCCCGGTCCTCGGATAGGCATGTGTGTGTCTGCCCGGTCCTCGGATAGGCATGTGTGTGTCTGCCCGGTCCTCGGATAGGCATGTGTGTGTCTGCCCGGTCCTCGGATAGGCATGTGTGTGTCTGCCCGGTCCTCGGATAGGCGTGTGTCTGCCCGGTCCTCGGATAGGCATGTGTGTGTCTGCCCGGTCCTCGGATAGGCATGTGGGTGTCTGCCCGGTCCTCGGATAGGCGTGTGTCTGCCCGGTCCTCGGATAGGCATGTGTGTGTCTGCCCGGTCCTCGGATAGGCGTGTTGCTGCCTGGTCCTCGCAACAAAGTAACACATTTAAAAATATGCAAATATTCGGTTTTTTTTGTGAGTGTTCTTTTTTTAAAGGCTTAATTGGC